AAGCGTTTCTGGGGAAAGAACACGCAGGGATTTCCTGTCCAGCACAGAAGTAAGTGGGAAGGAATTGGTTTTATACGCGCCTCTCTCCCGAGTCCACTCATTCCTGCAATTCTCATTCTTCCCCCAAAGGTTTCAGATAATTATATTTATTTTTCTCATATTTATGCTAATTTACACTCTTCTTCATGAATATGAGAAATTGCCTCATACTGTCATATCTGACCCCTACAGCTTGCTATCTTTTACCATTTGAAATTGCTGGATACAGGGTATGGGATGACTCTGCTTTCATAGGCAGGATTTTAATGCTCCAGAATGACAAGATCGACCGCTGATTCGTGACAGAAAATGTGAGGCTGCCAGGCAGAAACAGAGGTAAAAAGTTCTGGGGTGCAACCTCTGGTACCTCTGGTGGGACATCTTCTGGGCAGGAGCGTGGAGCAGCCAAACATCATTTAGGGAATACTGAGAATCAGCTGATGCGTTTTGGTTTCCTCAGGATTTCAAACAAACAAGGGAATTATGTGCCAAAGTTAAGCACTCACAAGTATGGAGACACTACAATTTAATTTTCTATATAACAAAAGTTCAATTCTTTCTTTCTTATTATTTAGGATGCCATCGCTATTAGCTATTCAAATACTACCCCTTCCCCAGGACCCTTGGTCAATCTTTTCACAGAACAGGCAAAGCAGAGATATGCAAAGCAAGGAAAGGCCTTTTATTCTGGGAAAGGCACTGGGTTAGGAACTGGTATTGCCAGATCCCTGAGAGAGCATTAGGGTTTCAGAACAGTTCCATGACTGAGGCAGGAAGGAGAAAATTAAGATTGGACAATCTGATCTACCATTCTTAAAATCAGGTTTTAAACATATACACCTATATATATAATAATCACATATATCATATATATATAAACTATACATAAAAATATAGTAAACATATGCAATTATATTACAGTTTTATATAATTTTGATTCATCTTCTAAAATGCATGATAATGAAAAAGATAATAAAAAGAGAGAAAGGCCTAACTAGGAAGCCATATTTAAATGAGAAAGTAATCCCTTATTAATCCCCTATTAATAAAACAAACAAACATCAGTAATTTGGGGAAGGGAGAAGATTAAAATATAAATCAGAAAAAATATTCCATGTATGTAAAATACATACATCCAAAAATGTACAAACTGGGGCTTCCCTGTGGTTTCGTTATTCGGCAGTAGGGTACAAAACTGGTCGTTGTCTCCTGCGCTGCCGTCTCCTCTCTTTTTAGCAGCAGCAAGTTTCCAAAGCAGCTCATCATTTTGGGCTGATTCCTGTTCATGTGAAACATCACCTTACAACTATTGCCTCAGCCTTCTTTTTTTTTTTTTTTCTTCAATATCGTAATTACTGATCACAGCAAAAATCCCTCCTGGTCAAAAGCAAAGCAAAACCATGAGCTGGAACTTGGCTGGCAGCAAAAAAGCTTCCCGGGGCTGCCACAGAAAACCACATTATTCACAAATGATGGGACATTGTTCTTTTGGATGGATTTTGCATTTCTTGACTCTTTATTCCTGCTTTTTCCAATATATTCTTCCCACTGCAATTCCCTCTTTATTTCTGTGTCTCCCCAAATATCTTTTTTTTTTCTGTGTTTTCATTCTTTGACATTGGTTCACCTGCCTCTGCCTCATCCCTTATTCTAGTGACAAGCCGTCTCATTCTATGCATTAAGCATATACAACATTAATAAAAATAATTACACATCATGCATAGCAGTGTATGAGCATTCAAATTAGTGATTTACAGACAGAAAAATCCATGGCACTTGGACTGCAATTAAGTGTTAAAACCATCAGAGGCTCCTCACACAATTCTGTGTGCGCTACTGGAAGAGAAATCTGCTGGATTTGAGCGAGCTCCAAAACATCCACTGGTGAACTCAGGTGCGCGGTCTCAAATGCCTGCAACACCGGGGAAAATGATGTTTTGGGGTGAGGATCAAGTTTTGAGGGATCATTTGTCATTTTTAATTAAAAGTTGGGGAGCTACAGGCTAAGAAAGGAAGGCCATCACAGGTCTAGTGTTCAAAACACACTGTCAAATGTTAACAGGAAAATTTATGGACCGAGGCAAGGAAGATGCAGATGCTTTGTCAGCTGGACCTTTAGCAAGAGAACCTGGGGCAGCACAATTTCTTGGGCTTGAAGAGAGCAACTTTTTAAGAAATAGCTGTGAACTACTAACTGTGCAAGTATCATTAATGAATTTTATGAATTCTAATATTTTTTTTCCAGCCACACTGTTTGAAGACAAATAGCCTGAAGTATGATGCTGGAACATAGTACCACAAAAATATAGGGAGGTCTTGTCTGCTTTCCTTGGATTCTGTTAGGAAAATAGTTAGAGTAAATCCCATTTCTAGTGGGTTTGATAAGAGTGGTGAAAGGGCTGGGCCCAGCTGATTCTTGCTGGGGAAGAAACCCTCTCAGTAGCAGAGCAAAAACATCAATGTTTCCTATCAGCATCAGGAAAGAGCTACTCTGGTTGCAGCCACCAGCTCCTGCGTAGACCCCATCACGGACACCACCTGCTAAGTGCAGTGGTCGGGTAGAAAAGAACCTCCTGCTACAAATCTTTTTGCTTCCACCTTTCAAGACTTTTTCCAGAAAAAGAAACTACAGAGCACCTTGAAGAACCTCCTTGCAGAGGGATGGCTGATACAGAGGGCCGCACTCCAAGATCAACCCAAACAACCTTCTAAGCTCTCCTAAGCTGGCACCAAGAGATTGACTTGATGAAGAGACATTCCTGTCAGACAAAACCGGGATGCTTAACAGACACGGAGAAAGATGAATAGCCAAGCATCCTTTAAAGCAGCCTGGTGCTGGATGTCAAGAAACCTAAAATAGCAAAGAGAAAATGAGTTGATGAGAACACCACTGGCTGTGGTGCTGCTGATGCCTCTTGGTTAATTCTGGGACCCCCAAAGTTCCCTTTCCTTTAGCTATTGGGTAATGTTCAGTAGAAGTCACATCTGGAAATCTCCTTCCCAATCTGTTCCAGACACAGACGTTCTCAGGAGTGATCGTAGGAGACTTCTCTTTCTCTTGCAATCAGAAGAAAGGAAGTATGGGGAAGATTTCTGTCAAGACACTCCACTGAAGACTGAACACAGAAAACAAACACATTAAACAGCACATTTTGGGAATGGTGCATCCTGATTTAAGTGCACGCACTGGAATAAGCTGGCCAAAAGATAAATGACAAGCAAGAGAGAAGACAGATCTCTCTAAAAATCAAAGATGATACAATAAACATGGTTTGGTTAATAGGACATTGGCTATTTACAGTATATTCTGCTACGCAGTAATACACAATACTTACCCTGTCATGTAGTGTCCAACCAACATATTTTAAATAACTATCATTCAGGAAGGCATCACTGTACATTTTCATCCAGACACCAATTTCTTCAATACAGACAGCTCTAATCTCAGCAATAGCATCACTATTAGGCAGGAAAAAAAAGAAAGTATTAAGGAGATTATAAGCAGCTAACCATTACACAGACACATAGCATTTTCTTCTGAATCCTACTGCTCTAATAACAACATTTCTTTTCTTTCATTAGCATTTGATGAACTTCCCTACGTAAGGGCATCTCTGTGTTGCTGCTCACTCATTTTCTCTCCCTTGATGCCCCTGAAGTCATTTATCTGGTCAGCTCAACATCTCTACATTCAGATACGATGTTCCTATTATCTCAAAAAAATCCTACTCTATCCTGCTTCTCAACCTATGACTCCCTCTTTTCAAAGTTGCATTATGAATCCAAGGCCTAGAAGGTCACTTCCAAACATGCTCACTGTGTCCCTTGGCTTAACCTCGGGCTGTAGTGGTGACCCTCTGTGGAACTAAGGAAGCCTGGCAGAGGAGCAGAATGGGATTTGGTTTGCAGACTTTTCTCATGACAGTATATGAAAGTCCTTGTAACAAAACCCAACTTAAATCGGGAAACTTAAATTTCAGCACTGTTTTCTTCCCTTTCTCTTGCCTTTTCCATATTCTGTCTGAGGCAAATGATGGAAGAGGCAAAGCCAGATCTCGGACAGCACTGGCTGCGGCTTGATGAGGTGGAGCAGCAGGAGCAGCCTGGGGAGAGCACCTGAAGAGATCAAGGATGGAAGTGACTTTGGTCCGATTGTCACTTTCCTGACATCGCGCATGGCATATTTAATAATAACAAATGACAGCTAAACAATGAGAAAAGGGATGGTGCCATCTGGCCCTTTAGTAATTTCATCCCTGAGACATCTGTTCCTATGAGAAATGGCCTGTGCTGCTCCAGCTGGCATCGCTCCCACTCCCCAACTTGGGCTCTATGAGAAGGAGCCACCTTAGAGAGGAAGGTACCAGCGGGTGCCTCGCTAGCGCTGCCCATGCGTGTACCCGAGACTCCTGCTCTCTGTTTTTCCAAGTCTTTTTTTGGAAAAGCAGTAAACATCAATCTCAAACAGAAGCATCAGAACCCCAAAATGAAACTTAACTTAGGAAAAAAACCCTATATGTTTCAAACAAGCGAATAATTGTAAAATAAGACAAAAATTCTTTGGTTCCTAAACCATAACATTTTAGAAAACGTACCTAAAATGACCCCAATCTTATGCTCAAGATACTATTGTACAAGTTGATACACAAAACAGTAGAACAAAACGGATTACTCCGCACTGCCCGTGTCCTTCCAACCTCCAAGCTAGCCAGGTCCATAGACCATATCCAATCTTCCAGATTCCCACGTGAAACACGTGCATGGACACAGCAAGCAACCAGGGTATCACACACGACTGGGTGTGAGACTTCTGCCATCAACTCTGTTTTTCCCCTTCAGCTTCACACCTCATGTGGAGACGCCTGTATCAACATCACTGTATTTAAAGTTACTGAACACGAGAAGGAAATTTGCAAGAATCCTGTCAAATCACTAGTGTCGTTTCCCTCTGCCCACTCTGAAGCACACTTGCTCTTATCAACCTCTACATGGAATAGTTAAAACAAGCCAGGCAAACTCTCCGAAGACACTTATCCACAGCTTCAAAGAGATGAAGACGAACTGAGTCATAAACAAGAGGATATTAAACCAGCTGTTCCTACCAGGGATTTCCAAACAGCTTTTAGACACTGTTAGCATTGATGTGCTAAAGTATCACCCTCAAGGGTTTGTACGGTAACAGCTGAATTCATTATGGGAAAGGCAACCCCCATCCAAACTAGGAACGTACCCACCTATTCCACTCATACACTGCACTAAACTAGGTTAGTAATTCTCTCGTGAGGAATTATTTTTAAACTATTTAAAAAATAAAACACAGGTGGAAGGAATCAAGAAGCACAACTTCAAGAGCAATCGGAAACACCAGTAAATGGGAATCAAAAACGGGAGCCACGCGTGCAACATCCCAAATTAGCCATGCAGACACTTCTGCCGGGGGATGACAGCTCGAGTCCCCACATCCAAGGAGGTTGATTCACCTCCTTATGAATTTATGAAGTGTGAAGTATTTTGGAAGGATTCAGTGGCCAACCCCAAAAAGAACCCAAGTGTCAACAGCTATTTAATCATGTGGCACCACTGGCCAAAACTCAGGAAAGTTTCTGTGCTTTATGAATGTGTTCAAGCTTTCCTAGACACACAATGAAAACCCGATTCTTCGCTGAAAACCTACTCAGATCCCCAGGCACTACGGACAAGTATTCGCTCCAAGCTGCTATTCATAATAAAAAGAAAGAAAGGAAAATAAAGACCTAGGCGGTTCAGTATAATGAAATTTAACATTTTCAGTATAGCTGAAAATGGGAAAGAATCAAGCTGCTGTTAAGTAAAACAGATTCAAGTAGCTGCAGAGATAGGAGAATTTGCAGAAACCAATTTTCCACTCATTTATCTTAGTGAATATCATTTTCCTTAACGAAGGAAGGACTCAAGACTGGTTAGGTTCAGTGGATGGCAGCAAACCCCACAGCTGGGAGAACGTTACACACAGGGTGGCCTGTCTGAGCTAGTTTGCAGATGAGCTTCGGAATAGTGATACTGTAAAAAAAGAAATGTCTCAAATAAAATGGTAACGCTGCACATCATGAAGGCTTCTGCAACGCCAGACAAGATGGGGGGCTGTGTAGTCTTACCAGTTCAGCATAAGAACCAAAGTAATTTCTAATACGCAGATATAACTGAAATGAAGAACTGTGCCTCCTCCTCCTCTTTTTCTTTTGTTCTTTCTATCTATCTTCATTCTGTATGTGATTTCTAGTTGTTCCACCTCCAACAACAGGAGGCCACTTTTGAGGTCCCTCACCTACCCATTTATAGCATTACCACATACCAAATGTATCAGAATTATACACTCACAAAATAACTTCCATCATTTTGAGGCTGAGGCTTCCAAATCTCATCACATCTAAGTCCCTACAGAAGCCCCATGCTGTCGGGCTCCGAGTATTTGGAGGACAGATATTCCACACACTCCCCAGGTTCCCGTGCTCAAGAGCCCTTCAGTGAATCACAGCCCATTGACCAGCTTCTATTCACCAACATGAGCTCAGCAACTTCACTCCCATTGAATTTGCTCTTAGATCTCTCATTCTGTTGCCAGCTTTGGACGCAATTAGAATAAAAAAAAAAAAGAGAAAAATCAATGTCCAACCAAGTATGGCATAAAGAATGTAAAAACAGGCAGAAAACATGATTCGGAAAAAAAATACAGAAACAAGCAATGAGGCAGGCAACCTCTTGCTTATTTAGACTTTTTTAAAAACAAACAAACAAAAAAACAAAAAAAAATCCCACAACACTAGACTAAAATGAAATCTGGCAATTTCTGTGAATCCTCCTTTTTTAAATGTGAGTAGTGAGTATTGAAACTTTCCAGTGTAACCACATTTGACTGGAAACCAATATACAGAAACCAGAAAGAAGATATAAGTCCCTGCAATACGAGCTCACCAGGAGGAAGACAAGATACAGTCTGAGCCACACAGTTGTTTTATTATTTTTTTTTTAGACCACAGACTTGCTAGTTAGGTTTCAAAGGTCACTAAACGTGAACCACTGTGGCACAGTCTGAAGAAAATGGTGGAAAGAAATTGCATGGAAGCAATCTGCATCCAAATAACTGCTGATGGCTCCAAGAAAAGCAGCATTGCCATGAATTTGGTTTCAGCACCACGCATGGGGACAGGTGACACATGCTCCAGATCCCCTGCACTATTTGCAGTCACCTATTTCTTAGCACAGGTCCCTTCTGAGAGAAATCTCCTCCTTCCTGGTCCCCTTCCTTCCTATCTGCCCCTCTTCACCTCCTACTCCTCTCCCCAGATCCTCTTCCCAAGAGCCGAGTCCACACACCCTCATCTGTCTCCAAGTTGTGTCATAAATGACACCACTTTAAACTAGAATTTGAATCTAAAAGGTTAATTGCACCGTTTCGTGTCCCTGAATTTCATCCTCGGACTTAGCCAGGACAATTAACATTTGCAGAGCTGGTTTTGCCAAGATGCTGCAGATGCTCAGAGGTCTTTTGCGATGCAAAACAACCCTAAATCTATTTGAAAAGTCTGCAGCTCGCTGAGGAGCAGTGCTCTGAATTGGCCTGAGTCAGTCTAAACCCACAGGTCTGTGCAACCCTACAGTAAAAACACACACGCACACGTGCGAGTACCCAACCAGCTAGGTTTCTGCACACATAACACGTAGCACATGAGCTATTTCAAGAAATAATAATGTCTGCTAACACAGTTCATTGCTTTGTAATGTCCTTGATAAAAACATCCGGAACAATTAACGAGGAAATATTAATTGGAATTAAGGCTTTTGAGTGCACTTATGTAATTTAAAGAGGGAGGAAAATCTAAAATAAAATTCAAACTGCAGCTAGAGCACATACTATGGAAACTTCAGAAATTTACCACTTAACCTGAAGACATATAAAATGGAAATGCAGAGTGGAAGTCCCCAACAACTGGAACTCTGCCCTTTTAAGATATGCAGTGATTATGCGGTTACTAAAATATCTAATGCTTGTGCTCCCACCTTAGCTAACTTTTCTTTTTAAAATACAAGGATTCAAATTCCAGGTCTCCCACAAATCCTTAGAGCTCTGTCACTGAATTAAAGTTGCCTGCAGAGCTCTACTGTGGAATTAATGAGGGTTACATTTAGATTTTCTTCCATGCCTTCAGTGATTTTAACATCTCTGCTTTTGCGGCATCTAGAATAACACATCACAAGAAAAATCAACACAGGAATTGTTCTTGGCGTTATTTATGCCTACACGTAGCCAGCACTGCCTACTATAGCATATATTTGCTTACCGGTATCTGTGCACAAATATACCCTTAAAAATAGAATTCATCATATTTTCAATTTCATCTTGGTTTTCTTGTAGCTGAAAAAAAAAAAGAGAAAGAAAATAAATACAAAAGTCACTCATCATAATTTATTATTATTACGGTGGTGATAAATGGGGTCCAGTCTGGTTGGAGGCCTCTGGCCGTGGTGGGCCCGGTGCTCTTCAACTTGTTCATCAGTGACTTGGACAAGGGCACAGAGGGCACCCTCAGCAAGTTTGCGGGCAGTACCAACCTGGGAGGAGTGGCCGACACTCCCGAGGGCTGCGCTGCCATTCAGAGTGACCTGGACAGGATGGAGAGTTGGGCAGAGAGGAACCTCCTGAGGTTCAACAAGGACAAGTGCAAGGGCCTGCACCTGGGCAGGAATAACCCCAGGCACCAGCACAGATTAGGGGTTGACCTGCTGGAGAGCAGCTCCATGGACAGGGATTTGGGAGTCCTGGTTGACACCAAGTTCCCCATGAGGCAGCAATGTGCCCTCGTGGCCAAGAAGGCCAATGGGCTCCTGCAGAGTGACAGAGATGATGGAGGGGCTTGACTAAGTGAGCTGGGCCTGTTTAGCCTGGAAAAGAAAAGACTGAGAGGAGATTTGATCAACATTTACAAATACCTGAGGGGAGGATGTAGGGAGGATGGGGTCAGGTTCTTCTCACTGGTGGCCAGCGTTAGGACAAGGGATAATGGGTACAAGCTGAACCCCAGGAAGTTCCATCTCTGTGTGAGGAAGAACTTCTTCTTTCCTGTGAGGGTGACAGAGCCCTGGAACAGGCTGCCCAGAAGGCTCCTTCTCTGGAGATCTTCCAAATCCACCTGGATGCCACCCTGTGCCCCTGCTCTGGGTGTCCCTGCTGGAGCAGGGGGTTGGACTGGATGATCTCTAGAGGTCCCTTCCAACCTCAACCATTCTGGGATTCTCATATTTTCAGTTTTTTTACTGTGCTAAATAAATACAGTTTAATTAGATAGCAGCCCCCAGCTTTGTTAGGCCACAGGATGACGTTTTATGCAGCCTGCTCCGGTTACAGAGCTGCCACCATGCTCAGCACTGTCTGCCATCAAGTAGCTTCTACGTGTCAAAGCAGAAAGCCACAATGTTGCCACATGGATATTTTTGACATTTGCAGTATGGAAACCACAAGACAGCCTTGCCTGTACAGACATGCATAAAACAAAGACTATATATGCATGGGCATAAACACTTAGTAGACACAGTATCTCGAAGCAGGGGGCGGAGAATCATCATCAGGTCTTTTGACTTCCTGCATAACATGACCACAAGCCCTTTCACCCCAGGGTTGGTATTTCCCAAGGACTGTTTATGAATATTCAAGAGCATCTCCCAGCCGACATCTCTAGCCGCTGGCAATGAGGCCTCTCGGCTCCCAGGAACGCGAGGCCGCCCAGGCTCCGCTTTGCGAGTGGGGAAAACGAGGCTCGGAGCATTTGGCCTGAATCGCCAACCGCCTCGCAAGGAAACAAATTTCATAGTAAAAGTGATGATGTACACGGGGAAAAGTTGGCTGCTGTGTGCACCAACGGCTTGGCAACCCAACAAGCATGGGGGAGAGACAGCTTCTGAAAAAGGAGTTTCGGCATCAGGGCAACCTGCGATTAAACCTTTGCTCATCACCGCAGAACCCGCAAAGGAAAGAGACTTTCTGATCTTCTCTTGCTGTGCTCTGCGGGGGACAAGCAAACACCCACGAGACAAGTGTATAGTGTATATATACGCTTATATAATAAGATACAATGCTTAAACATATTTAAGCTTCAGTAATGAACTAACAACTTTCTCAGGAATGGGAATTTTCTCCCAAACTGTCTTCTGTGCTTTCAACATACTCCAAGTTTATACATCATGTACCTACTGCGACTTGAAGTGCTTAAATCCAAGCATCTTGAGAGCAAAATTTTGCCTTTGGCTTCCTGTACTTACACATGAAAAGGTCATATAACACTTTCCTACACCCCCAATCATGTAAAAATGAGGGAAAGTCTCCTGCTGACCCTGCAAACCTTGAGTGAAGCTCAGAAAGACATACATAACAAGCACGAAATCTGAATTACTACTGGCAACTACTAAAAGACATTTTTTTCTATCTTGTGGCTGAGCATTTTACATGCATCTTCCAGTTTAGCTCAAAAAGTCATTAACTGGAACGGGAAAAGTGCATGGAGGAGTGCCCTCACATCAGGTATGTAGGCAGTGACATGAGAATGAAACCTTCGGAGAAAACTTCCCATCTTTTCTTTTTAGGATTAATTTCCTGTAGCCAGCTTCTGTATTATAGTTGCAGAGCTGTATGGAGACAAATAGATGCTTGTATATTTGCTTATGAGGGTCTATTACAGCACGACATCAGAAGAATCAACTAAGAAGGTGCCAGCATGGAATACTGTTGTAAATTCCACATATTCAAACATGGGCAAAAAACAGCATTATGTTAGCAATTCTTATACAGCACTGTTATGCTTTCTGAACTCACTAAATCTACTCTACACAGGTCCTTCACTGTGCTTACAACCCTGCACCTGAGCACACACTCAATCACCACCATTCCTCTCAAACGCCGCACAGTAACTGTGCTTGAGCTATTTTATGCTTTAAAACTAAAAATGGAAAGTTAATAGTTCATTATCATTAGGAATACTTTCCTTGCAGTTTGGGCAGGAGAGATGGTTCTTGTTTTTTTATTTTACTCTATTATTTTCAAGAATGGAAAAGTCCAAATAAAATGGTACTAAGCATCACAGTGGTAAAATAAGAATAAAAACACATAATTGTAATTATCCCCAGACAGAGACTAGTAAGTGAAGCTATTTAGGGTCAGTTATAAGGAAAAGAGTCCAAGGTGCATATGTGTAAGGCACCCAGACATCCTTAATTTGCCTTAACAGTATATAGCATATAGTTATTTTCCTTAATAGCAGTGGGGAAAATATGTTCAAAAATAATATATTTAAAATAACGAATTTAAATCATATATTTAAGTCATATATGCTACAATTCTGTAATCGATCTTCTGGTTTTTTTTGCGCAGCATCTTTTCAGATCCTGGCCGTTTGGTGTATCCAAGCCATCCACTTCCTGCTTCTTGTCATCTTTAGATTACTTTTAAGTACATTTCTAAAAGTGAGTTTCCTGGGATATACTTCTTTATTTTGAGAGGAGTACAGCAACCTCCTAATGGTTTTGCTCACCTAATGCCAGACTAGTACTTACTAAAATGTCTTCATTTGTCTCCCTAGCTTCTTTTCCCTGAGACCAGCTGCTATAGCCCCACTCCAGTGTTTCTTGGCTACAAAAAGAAGTACTTAGTAATTATTATTTAGTAATAATTGCAGTGATAAAGGGCAGAACTGAGCACAATCTTCTTGCCCAAAACAGGTTACTATGTACATCTTCAGACTAATTTTCCTCTTCCCTGGTCATGTAAACAAGACCGACAACAGAAATCACCTTGTGCATGCAGAACAGCACACTCAAACTCAGTTGGACGGGATAATACGAGACTTTAAACTGTTGCCCAAGGTAATGTGCACAAATACTGCTTAGCAGAAGTAGTATTAACAGAACTAATCTCTTGTTTCTCACCAGCCTACTTAAATCACAGATCACCTTGGACTTTCTGTCAGAGGAAATATATATGAACTAGGAAAAAAATGCTTATCTTTTCACTTGCCTCTTTTCTTTTCTGAAGCAGCAGCTCCAGCCTTTCATTAGCTCTTTTGCCAATCATTTTGTTTCTCTCAGCTTCGTACTGCCTCTGTGTATTATCCTGATGAATGCTCAGGTTTAAGGCAACATTCACAAGAGCAGTCATAAGCTTCATAGCTGTAAAAGCAAAAGACAGAAGATAACTATTTACCTGTAGTCAGAGGATAATTCTGAGGATAGTTAGGATATACGCTCAGGATAACTCAATCTAACCTTACTACCGTTCAAAGCTGGCAGCCCTAGACACCCATGGGCACTTGTCTTGGTTCTTTGTAATAGTCAATCATTCACATTCAGATTGGATAGCACAGAGGAAAATTGTGAACAAAGACCTCAAGAAAACTTCTTCAAGAACAAATGAAATTCCCAAAGAAATTTTTCATAATCAAGACTGAGCTCCACAGCATCACGATGACCTCTGCTCTGCAGGATATAACTTCCATCAAATCTGCAAAAATAATGCCTGAAGGCAATTTGCAGCATCAAACAAAGCTCTCATGTTTGTTAAAATAAACAAACAGGTAGATGAATAAAACGCATCTGGTAAGTTAAATCATCACTGGGAAATGCTGGAGCTCTTCAGCAGCTCCTAGTTCTCATTTAAGCACTAGTTATACTAGATGTTCTGGTATTAAATATGTTATGCATACCTAACACAAGAAGCCAGCAGCGATAGAAAGCTTTGAACAACCAAAGCTAGCTGCCATAAAGACAGGCCTTATCCCTTTCTTATACTTGCTCAGAGTTTCTAGCTACATAACCCATTTTCAACAGTGGAAGCTATTTCTTCTGCAGTTGCACCTCTAAGGCATGGTGCTGTTTGCTGCCTTCTCCATCAAGCATTTCAAGCTTTCTCAAGGTTTTTCTCAACCTTTTCTCAAGGTCATTTCAGGAGCAGTTAAACAGCAACATCTCTTGGAAATCCTCCGTGCTCAGCTACTTACCAGCTAATGTACTAGTGTGCCTGAAAGCCCGCACCTGGGAGTCTGACAAACCAGTGAGCAGAGAGATCACCGTGTCCATCATGTATTCGTCGTAAATGATGCTGTACTGGCACTGCCGAATGAGCACGCCGATGAACTCGCAGAAGTTGGATCGGAACTTCTTCCACTGGGGCCCAGGCATGGTGAGTGGATAATCACCGCTGTCCTGGAGAAAGAGAAAACAAAGACAGTAAGAATTTCAAGTCTCCCCATCTAACTTGTTATCACTTGCGTGCTGTGCTCTGCATAGTCCAGAATTGCACCCAGACTTAACTCTCCTCCTTGTGCTGGGCTAGGAAGGGGGACATGGAACAAGGAAGGAATATCTCAAGGTCTTCTAACGAAGGCCTGTGTGCTTGCACTCCCATCCTATGGTGATATTTGAACAAGTGGTTACCACAAACCTTGCTTTACTCATATTACAACTGAGATCCTATCAGAAAGTTAAGACTGCTCCTTTCTGATTTTATAACTTACCCTTTCCCCAGTGGTTAAACTTGCTTTCTGACAGAAGCAATGGAAACTGCACTAGGGTTCCTATACTCCACGCAAGTTCATACCGCTGTTTCCAGTGGTCATTGCAAAGCTGCTGCACACACATGAACTTTCAGTTCAATTAAGTGTAGCTCCTCTCCAAGGCTACTTTATCACAGTTCCTATCCCAAGCAATACTTCATTGCAATGACACTGTGCTCTCATAATTAAAAAACATTTTTTTTCCTTCCCCTCTCCAATGTAAAACACTGTCAACTCCCTGTCATCTGATTGTGAGAGAATTCCTCGAGAAAGGGGAAATTAGAGAAAAACTAGGGCCTAACAGAAGTTATGGCATTACAGAGGCTCGCTTGAGGTGAGAGACTGTTACCACTTCCAGGATAGTTGGTATGTGCGGAACCTGCTTCTCCACAATTCCCTTGGCAACACAATCTGCCCTCCCAGCACACATTAATAAGAGTAAAGGAAGAGTGGAGCAGAATGGAGACCCCGTGGCCAAACTTTGTTGGCTTCCCGGCAGAGGGGATAATCTGATGGTGCCGTGCAGATGATGAGTGAATGGAGGGTGGAGGGAAGACACTGCGGCCAAACTCTGTGGTACTCCCTGCAGAGGTGGCAGCCTGGCTGTACCACACAGCTGATAAGCCCCATAATGTGATTTCTGGTGCTGGGCCAGCAATGGAGGCAGATCAGTTCCTTCTGATGGACTTTGCTCAAACTTCTCTCATTCTAATCTCATTATAATACCAATACACAATCCCATCCCAGAAGTTACCCATTTCCAAGGAATGACCACCCCTCACTGAGCACGTTCTCTGGATTTTTGATTAACTTGGGAGACTTTTTAAACCAATCAGTAATGAAAGTAAGTATGACTAGAGTCACTCAAGCTCTGTGTAAAAGTGAAAGAAAATATATAAAAGGTCAACTAAGGAGCGATATAGTAGGAACTGGGGAAAAAGGAAGACGGAAGTAGAAAGAAAGAAGAAGGAAGAAAGAAGGAAGAGGGGAGAGGGGAGACTTCATTGTAACCTCTGGATCAGCCGATGGGCTGAACTCCTTTCCTCTCCTCTGGTCAGGACACTGCCTGAGGAGACTCCTTGAGGTTGACAGCCCTCTCCCATCTTCTGGGTGAGGGATAATTGCGCATTTGTACATTAGAGCTAGCTAAGAAGCCCACACTCTAGTACAGAATTTCCCGTACTGACATTCAAAACTTGTTCTCTAAATGTTGCATTTGAATTAATTGTGTGTGAATAAATTCATGAACTCGACTACTTGTTTCGAAGGCAATTGGACCTACAGTCAACTGTTCGTGAACCCGATTCTGCCACAGTTGGGCCCACAGCTGATCATACTGTCTGTGAACTCGATTCACAGAATCCCAGAGTGGTTGAGGTTGGAAGGGACCCCTAGCAATCATCTAGTCCAACCCCCTGCTCCAGCAGGGACACCAAAAGCAGGGGCATAGGGTGGCATCCAGGTGGGTTTGAAGATCTCCAGAGAAGGAGCCTCCACAGCCTCTCTGGGCAGTCTGTCCCAGGGCTCTGGCACCCTCACAGGAAAGAAGTTCTTCCTCATATGGAAGTCTCCTAAGTTAGCAAGGATGGCTAAATTGAAGGATAGCAAAAACACAACAGGTCCAGACTACAAACAGTATCAATGCAGAGTACCATAGACGCTAGCAAAGGAGTCACAGTTAGAGGAGCAAAAGGAATCTAGCATCAGTTTGCCAAATGCCCTTGGAGTTGCTAACTTAAAATAAAAAGGAAGGCTTCATATATAACAAGAACTCTGATTTGATAGTGGAATAGATATGCTAGGAGAACTCAAATTGAACTTAGAGAGGTGCATCAGCCTGTTCTGGAAGTAGCACTATATACTCCCATCAGAAGTGGAAATGTTTGGGAAAGTGTTTCAAAGACACACACACTGGCCACAAGGGCCATGGAGAACAGAAAAATCAGATCTCCAGATGTCCCAGTTGTCCAAAGAAGCAGCTCTTAGGCGACCAGGACAATCTGGAGTGTACTAAGGACAACTCACTGAGTCAGGGACAGAAAATGCAACCAGCAAGCTTGCTCTCAGGAGTAGCTCAGCGTGAAGTGCAGGAAATATGAAAGCAAGATGTAACACAGCTGAGGGTGCGCAAACTTGCTGAGGGTGCCCTCTGTGCCCTCGTCCAAGTCACTGATGAACAAGTTGAAGAGCACCAGGCCCTGCATTCACTGTTTTGAAGGCCATTGGACCTACAGTTTACAGACTGCGAATGTGGCGCTGCCAGAGTCGGGCCTATAGTTACCACAGGATTTGGTATCCCTATGAAGAGATGAGTCCAGCCGCCCCCAGGGCCTCTTACCTTTGAGGATCAGCTGGAGAGCAAGGGGATTCATCTCTTCCCAAATTTACCTTTCCCCCGCCCCCTCTCTCCATCAAACGGCAACACTGATTTGCAAGGCAGCTCTAGCCTCTGCAGGACTCCAACGTAAGGATGCTCTGTCCCGAGTCTCTCCCCATCACAAAACCTCTGTAGCATCAAGATCAATCCATTTGCGCATTTTTATTCTGTGTTTTGTGAACAACAAGCAGTTCTGCTCTCTTGAGACTTTCCCTATTGCACAGACTGAAACCATGTGAAGCCATGGAACTTAAGCGTAGAAGGGCTGTAATCAAATAACTTTTTAATCTAAGCTTCATCAAACACATTGCCCTGCAGCAAAATCTAATTTAACTAAATCAGAGACATTCCAGTTCTACTAATATAAGGATTAGAGGCACAAAGGCAAACACTCTAATGTTAGAAAGACAAAATTATAAGATACCTTAATGACCTTACAGTCTCACTCATTGCAATGGCTAAACGATGGCCAAACAACGGCTTTATCTTAATGAGCAATTTCTTTCTTCTTTTTTTGATCTTTGGGTGCGCAATTTGAGACAAACATGTGCTTAAAAAAAGAGAGAGAAATCGGTGCTCTTGACACCACTAAATGTATTTCCTAACACCCTGAGCTGCAGCTGTGAGTCCTGAGAACTTCTGCAAACCGAAGTGTTTCCCAGTTCACCCACCACATTTTTGTTAAGACATAAAAATAGAGATAAATATATATAAAAGCACTGTATATACACTATACCTCATCAAACTCTTCAGTCATTTTCCTTATGATTTCTGCATTTTGCATGTTCCTGAACATTTCAATCCTTACAGTACCTGTGATGTAACAAAAGAACAGAAGAAATTAGCAAAACTTGCTTTTGCTGGGTCAAAACATCAGTCTCAAAGTTTTACTGCTGCTAAACATAACAATACATATGAGAGAACAAACAAGAGCAATGATACTGAAGAAGAAAAAAATGTTTAAAAAAGTTGAAAAAATGGGTTAAAAAAAAAGATCATTTGTCCTGTAAAGCGCTATGAGATTGGGTGGTACTAAAATTTTCAATCTTTTTTACTCTTTGCAGCCAAGCAGATGTGATGCAGAGGTAGCTGAAGAGGAGCACAGCACTCGTGCCGTGTCTGCGGTTACCAACTCTTCTCCATTTTGAGTGCAAAGCCAGATGAAGACCAGCCTTCCTCTTCGGCAGCAGTGCGAGTGCTGCTCCAGCTTCCCAATGGCGCTGGCCACCGCTGGCATCTCTGTGCGGAGCCACGGGAGGCCTGCACGGCCGATGGACGTGGGTGCCACACAGGGTACAGCAGCTCCTGCAGCAGAGACCTCGTGGTCTCCAAAACTGAGGGCTCCGAAGGGCTCCAATGAGATGAGAACCAGCCCAGGAGCAAGAGGACCAATTGCATTTATGACACATTTATGTTACAGATTATCCCATTCCCCAAATTTGCTGAACAGTGAAGGTGGCAGGATTAAAATTTCATTTTGAATTGGATGAGGATCCTAAAATGAACAGGTTGTAATGCAATAGCAGGAAATAAAAATTTGTGGTAACTTCATGCTAAATGTAATCAGTCCAAAGAAAGGAAATATTTTTACACCAAGTTACTGCCTGTTCAATTAAACATGATCTATCCTCCAGCCATATGACACAAGCCAGCATAAAGTCAGCCCCTGCTTCATCTTCTTTTGTTAACTGAGACAAGGCAGAAAAATCCAGCAAACTGCAGAGCTCCAAATCTCTCCCCAGACTTACAAATATCACATGGAGAGGCATCACTGCCGTTGGAAAATTACAACTGGATCAACGAGCCACCAGTTGGCTCCAAAATACAAACCAGAAGAGTAGAGCCTCAACAGCTAACAGTAGTAGTGAATTAATTCCTGTAAAAAGGTTAAACTAAGAGTTAGGTGTATTAAATATCATGGGAATGTTTTACTTCCTCTATTTTCTTCCTTCAAAATGAAGTGTTAGGAAGCTGAGCACTGCAAAACAAGTAAGCACAGATCACCAGATTTGTGTATCCTAACAGGAGTAGCATTTTACAGCACTGCTTCAATTTTGATTTCTTCAATTGGTGATGCTTCTTCATGGGCAGCAGTCACTTGTTATCTCTTTCATACCAGACTATCAATCAAATAATGGTGTCTGAAGTCTCTGCATGATGATTTCCGTACTTTTCATAAAGAATTAGTAGTGTGCTATATTAATATAAATCAGTGAACCCAGGAGAATACAATCATATGATACATGAAGATCTCTTAATCAGCTTTGACATCAGTTCTTGCTGTAGTTACATTTTATACCTTCCCCCAGTATTCAAGTTTTGTTTCTCCTCAGGGAAGTTGTGCTGTGTTGACCAGTTTGCAGCTATTCCTAGCGATCCTTCTCAGCTGCATTAAGAGCTTTTCCTCTCACTGCACGCTGTTATCACTTCTTCTTTTCAATAGTAATATAACTCTCCCCGAATAAGTAGCCTTTGCTATGTTACTTTTTTCTATTCCCAATTCTAATTTTATTCAGATCCATTCATATCACCTATTAATAACTCTAAGTAGTGCTCACATTGTATGTAAGCACGTTACCATGTCAGAAAAAGTATAAAATCGCCCGTTAATTCATTTCATTCAAATCTCCTTCCTCCTCAGCACAGTTCTTTTCCAGCCCTTGATCCCATTTCAAATCCATGCAATTTCTTATACCCTTATTCCAAGGACTGTTGCTTATGCTCAGAGGGAACGTTTCCATACCATACTTAGGAGGTGACAGAGTTGAACAGCACTAGGAAGTTCACAACCCTTGACAGTGATTGCTCTACAGGACTTCAACTGTCCACATATTAATCCACTAATTTTGAAAGTAACAGGCAGATTACTTGATGTTTACTTAAAAGCAGAGAGTTAACTCCTGCTCTGCTTTCTCAGCTTCAACAAATGCTTATCCACATAAGGACAAACTCACTGCCACTTACCATCCTCACAAGCCTTAGGATTGCAAAGCAATTCAGATTGGCAGGGACTCCTAAACACCACTTGGTCCAAACCCTACCTAATGCAGAGCAAGCTAGATGTATATGGACATACATACAGGGACACAATCCAGGAGGAAAAGGCACTTGTCAAAGAGCACTAAAGGCAAGAAAAGACCCCTCTGCCAGGCAGAGGTGGAGAGAAAGTTGATGGAGGGGTTCAAAAAGCTCAAACAACAAAGGCCAACATCTCGTGTTTCTCAGCAGAGAATAGCTCGGATTTGCTGAGGAGGATTCGAGAGCAGAACGAAGAGGGAGATAAATCTCCACGAGCTGATGCAAAGTGTTGCTTTTCTGGCATTTGAAGTGCTAAGCAGTGAGAAGAGCGCTCAGAGACCAATCGTAATGAGTAAAGAAGGAAATACAGGAGGGAATGAAGAGCTTAAACAGAGAAAAGCAAGCTAATTAATACAAAGATGGGGACTCAAGGGAAAAATTAATTAAATACCACAAGAAGAACAAGAAGAAAAAAGACAGAGGGACATGGAAAGCAAGAAATCTCTCATTTGGAAAAGGGCTTAAATCCTTACTTACAGTCTCCTCTGAGATTGCTTTGGACCCCTCTTCCTTAAAAATATTAACATCAGAATTAGTTGAAACTGTATGTTTTACTCAAACTAAAACCAGTGTAGCAACTACATCTAGTACCACCAAGTCAGTAATGCAATTCTTGGTAATTTTTAAGGTTTCTCATTGCCCCCTCTCTCTCGCACCATCAGTTGAAGCCTGGCAATCTAACACCCGAATGTCTTTACCATAACATGCTACTTCTACCATTACCAGCTGTAGTGCTGAACTTTCTGCAGTCCCTGTTTTTTTTTCCCCTTAACTGTGTTCTCAGTTATAACTTCATGTCAATACAGATTGTCCAGTAATTACTTTGTTGTCCTTCCTACCAGAAATTTTCTTGGAAACCTAGAATAAAAAACATTTAATGTTATGATACAGATTAACAACTTGATAAGAGCAATCAAAAACTGAGTTATGTTTTTAATTTATGGCTCTGTTCAGCAGTATATTCTGGCTGTACCATTCTGCAGCAGCTCAAAGCAGCCCCAAAACACATTCACCTGAGGGGTTTACTGTGATGTTGGCTGCCGAAGCACAGCAACACCCCCGAGGTGTCTTCTCTGTCTGCTCCCGCTTCCCTACCTCATCTGCGCAGACGTGTACTTACAAAACACATTCTTTTCTTGTACTTTTGCAATCCATAATTTCCTCCTTTCTCCCTCCATGTGAACTCCCAAGAGTACTTCCTCATCCTTTATTCCTCTGCTACCCAAGAGTATGAAACAGGTGTTTCAGTTTGCCTTTCTCTCCAGGTTTTGCCTGTTAATGAGATCCTGGGCACGTCATAAAATTATAGGCTGCTAAAAACAGAAAGAAATGAATATTATTTTCTCATTGTCAAGCGCCATCTTATATTGTCCTCGGGAGATCACAGTCTCAATTTCCTAAAGTTTAAATGCCTTTTTCAAAGCGGTGCAAAGTCTTTGCTCCCAGGACGAAGGGAGTTTTGCCCAGCGCCACCAGGCAGAGGTACCAGCACGGAGTGACGAATGCAGGTCCGAAGAGCAGCCCGTTGCCCAGTCGTCCCTCTGGGCACATGGGCCACTTTATAAAAACATTTTTTAAAAAATATTCCCCCGAAGGAAAACTAAGGGATATCCACCTGTGCATTCACCTATGCGGGTTAAACCTAGATCTAAGCCCTGCAGTTTATTGGAAACTTTTTTCAAATCTTCACAGCTTGGATATCAAACGCGCTCTGTAACACTGCCCTCAGTTTTATAAGTTACCAAGGTCAGAGCCAAGCCATAGCAAGTGAGCGCAATTACTATTAATACTCTATACTACAATAAATATATGGTACTATTAATATGCTGTACTATACTAATTGTATTACTCAAACAAATGGTTGAGATCAGTTAACTTGTTCACTTTGAATGTGTCAAAATTCTTCCCTCCTGCTCCAACCTTTAGTTATATATTTATTTTTCCATTATTAAATGCCTCTGCAATCACTGAGCTCAGTTTATTAAACTTCCATTCATGCACAAAAGGGCTAAGTCGAAACTAATTCCAGCTTTAGTTTTAAACCACTATTAAGGAGATAAGAGGAAGAATTTTGGCATAGTTACAAAGAAATCACTGACCAGAGTTTCCTGGACAAGGAGAGCGGTGATGTACCACATTAGAGCACCTGACCCTTCTCCTGGGCCATCCCTTCCTTCTCAGGACCAAGAGGTTCGCACCCCGCAGCTACAGCCACGCTCCGGGAACACCCCGCAAACCACCGAGCCCATCACCGCCTCTCATCCCAAACTGCCTAGGGGCTTTGGATGCAAATATCCCAGAAAACCGACACTCTGCAAGGCAGCCAGGGAGGATACAGGGCAACGGTGATCAATTAGTCAGTGAAAGTTTATTCCTTTCTTTTGGTAGCTGTTCGAGCACATTTCTGCCTTTACACCATGGTAGAACTTCCTCTCACACATTTTAAGTTCTAATCTTCTTAATAAGTTTTGAGCAGAATGACTTTCCCTCGTTACTCCAACCTCACATTAATGACTGCAGTAAACCCGAACACTGTGTTTTAAGTTATTGCAAACGATGATGCTCTGGCTGTAATGGTTTGCTGCCAGAGCAGATGATGCCTGGAAACCCAGCAGACATCTCCTGAGAAATTACTCAAAGGCGAAGTGGCTTCCTGACTCCCAGGGGTCCAGCCCTTTAGGCAATCAGGCAAACTGATTCACCCAGGACCCAACGCACTGATCCTGAGCCCAAAT